CCCAGCGATCACTTGCGGTGGTCAGCTGATGTAAAACTCAGTGTTCTTGTTCTCCCAAACAGATCCCCTACCAATCTGCCATCCCAGGGGAACGCCTGGTAAACCTAGGCGGAGTCAATCTGAGATTTGACCCCCGTCTGTGCACCTGTTAAACGTGCCACTTGCAGCTACACCGCTTCCGACATCAGGAATCAGGAGGGACTAATGGTTACGCCTCCGTCAGCGTTGGTATCACACCTTTTTTGGAACTTCTAAAAGTCCAAAAGGGATGCGGGATCAGGCGGAAGAGGTCATTCATCAATGAAGGCCCAACTCAGCAACCTCGTCGACCCACAAGAAGCACCCAAGTCTTGTAATCGATGTGCATTGCAATTCAATGAAGAAGAGGTTCTGGCCCCAAGAGACACCTCCAAGGATAGAATGGTCTCTCGCCAGTGCGAGGCAAATGGGGTCAGCAGCTGCAGTAGGGTTGCATTTTGCCGCTCAAAAGTGACGGGAATGAGTTCCAGGGTGTGGAAGTAAGTGCCTGCTCCCTGCTTCGCCCGCGCTCTCCTCATTGTGCAGCCTTTAACGCTTGGACGTTGAGCAGTCCCCTTTTGATGAGCCATGCACTGCTTTTCCGTTCGATACAACAGTGACACTTTGAGCGCAACTTGGGTTATACAGGCTACGCGCAATCATGTCACGAGAAATTCGAAGCCATGGGAAATTCAGAGGCCGTGAGAAAGAGGAGGGAAGATTCATTTGCGTTTTCTAAACAGTATAATTAAGGGGCGGAGAGCTCAAAAACGTTTACGGCGATATGAATTGCACTTTATTCAATTCTGAGTGGCTTTTCACCATCATATTCAACAACACAGTCAACTTATTCACGATTACTGGCCGCCCACAGCTTTCTGGACGAGAGATTCTGCCACGCGACCGTGATTCGGTGCCTGAGTTCAGCGAGGTCGTTGATTTCTCCGCCACTGTAGACCACCATGTTGAGCTCTGCCTCACGGGCCTGGTTATCAAGGGGGGGAGCGGGGCTGGGTAGGACACCCTTGAAATATTCCTTCCTTCTTCAGGCTCTCAACGCCATTCGATCCCAAATTGGGGTTTTCACAACGACCTTCGTTTCCTGTGCTGGCACCCAATCCCAATCAGTACGAAGTTTCCAAGACAGTACAGGCAGGGCACGCCATCTTTGTGATCATCACAACAGGGGGGTCGTATTTGCCCGCGATAAAGGGGGGGGTCGTAAACGCATGGCCCATGTTGAAGTGGAGAGAGCGGTGATACACGGTACAAGTAAAAAGAAGCTCAAAAGGGACGATGTAGATGACAATAAATAGAACTAGGCACTATCGAACTATTCCTAGGCCAAAACTAAAAAAATATTGCTGAAACTTTTTCCTCCTTCCTCACAAAAAAACTTCAAGACACTTCGCCCACCAACCCTCCTCATCTGGTCTGGGTAAATCCCAATCCACTAATCCGCAAAATCTAGAAAAAATCCATTGCAAGCTACCCTATGAACCGAGAATTAACTCGCTGCGCATTTCCTTCACACAAAAACAAGCAATTTTCACAACAAAGCAAATCAACAAACAATATACAAGTAAACATAAACAAACAAGTACCAGTAATTCACAATAAAAATAGCGGATACGAAAACTGACCAGGCAAGCTAGGAACGGAGACTGTGGGTTACTTTGAATTTGGCTCATTTTAACTGTTCGCGGTCAGCGCGCTCATACAAGCGCATTGGTGCGCGCTATTTTACGGTTTGGAGCCAATTTCAAGCCAAACACGTGAAAAGTACCCCTCATTTGAACACCCATAACTTCGTTGAAAGTGAAGCTATCGGAGAGGGGTAAGTGGGAATGAGTAGAGCTAGGTTGGCTCTTATCACCTGAATTGAGCGATTTTCAAAAACGTTCCGATTCCAGAGATTTTCCCGTTGTGATCATCGTTGTGATCCATCTGTGATCATTTG